CTCTCATTTTTAATTCACTTATTTCCTGCTTAAGATCTTAATTTCTATACATAATTAAACACAAACACACAGATAATTCACGATATCATTATGCACATCAGAACCATACATTTCTCAAATCACTTTATGAGTCATCTTGTACCAGATCGGACAGTAAGCACAGGATATTCAGATTTTTTGTGAAACTATACTAGATCACACAGAAAGTACAGTGTGTCGTATATCTGCACCAGATCACACAACAAGTGCAGTGTACCCAAATTCCACACGCACACACTGGTTATACATGTCACATGCATAACATATGTACACACATATTAATACACACACATATATATTATAATACAGACATGTATCTTCACTATATGTCTCAAACATAATATATATTAATATTCACATAAACATAATTTCTACAGATACATATGCACACGTTCATACTTAAACACGTACATACAATCACACACAACATATAATATACATATTTATTCACGTATTTGTTCTTATTAGTTATGTTTTTATCAATTCTATTCTTATCAATTTATATCACATTCATTGTATATTTTTACATATACACACACACATGAACACAAACAAATACAAATTAGACATACTAATTATATTCCTATTATACTACACATTTATTTAAACATTCATACACAGTGCACTATACATATACACATTTACATAAACATATAGTTTATATATCCGTATGGAATACAAATAATTTTTACCTATAGTGTGATCAAGAAAGTTTTGGAAATCCTTTCTAACTCGATGTATAGTCATATCGAAAATTCAAATACTGTTTGGATAATTTTTTTCATTTATAATAGAAACACATATTAAAGTATTAATAATTTTAAAAACCATATTACGCAAAATTAGGAATATATTTTATCTTGGAACACACAGTCTCGGTCGTCAACGTCACCACGCGCCATCATACACATGTTATCGAAAATGTCAAGCGTTAATGATCGAATCAATGTGCGTCGCCGTATGCAGCGCGCAACATCATATTTGGTCGCCACCCTTTCATTTTTCTTCCTTCATTAATTTTTTTTCTTCTCTTTTTTCTCTCCTTTTTTCTCCTTTTTCTTCTTTTCTTTTTTCTTTTCTTTTCTTTCTCTTTTCTTTTTTTTTTTCTGACTTTCTCCTTTCTTCTTCTTCCTCTTCCTGTGGCTTCCTTTTTTTTTTTTCTTCTTCTTCCTCCTTTCCCGCAACTCCCTCTTCTTTTTTTTTTCTTTCTTCTTTTTTTTTTCCCTTTC